GGTTTCAGGGTTTTATGGTTTTTGGGGTTTGGGGTTTACGGTTTCAGGGTTTCAGGGTTTTAGGGTTTCAGGGTTTCAGGGTTTTAGGGTTTCAGGGTTTAGGGTTTCAGGGTTTGCCGAATCTTGGAGTCCAGAGTCTATATGGGAGTTACAAGGCGCCCCAGAAACTGAAGTTCGCTGAGCCTGGTTCAAGAAACAGAAGCAGGTTGACAGAATGCTGTTGATAGAAACCCTGAACCCTAAACCCGAAACCCCTAAACCGAGAATACCCTAGACCCTAAACCCTAAACCCTAAGCATCCCGAAACCCTAAACCCTAAGCATCCCGAAGCCCTAAACCCTAAACCCTAAACCCTAAACCCTAAGCATCCCGAAACCCTAAACCCTAAGCATCCCGAAGCCCTAAACCCTAAACCCTAAACCCTTAACCCTTAACCCTAAACCCTAAACCCTAAACCCTAAGCATCCCGAAACCCTAAACCCTAAGCATCCCGAAGCCCTAAACCCTAAACATCCCCAAGCCCTAACCCTAAACCCTAAACCCTAAACCCTAAACCCTAAACCCTAAACCCTAAACCCTAAACCCTAAACCCTAAACCCTAAGCATCCCGAAACCCTAAACCCGAAGCATCCCGAAGCCCTAAACCCTAAACCCTAAGCCCTAAACCCTAAACCCTAGGCATGTTGACAAGATGTTGAAGCATGTTGAGCTCCTGGTCGAAAAGCAAGGAGATGCCAATCCCACTTTTCTCTTCGGGCCTTGGCCTGGCGGCCGATGTCGCTAAGCTGAAGCTGCGGGGCCTCTGTGCTTAGGGCATTCTGTGAGCTTAGGGTTTAGGGTTTGGGGTTTAGGGTTTAGGGTTAGGGCTTGGGGATGTTTAGGGTTTAAGGTTTTCTGCTTTCGCCCCCTCACACTCTAGGTATTTCTCTTCGGCTCCCTTGTGGGTCCCCTACATAGTACCTTATAAACAGGACCCCCCTAAACCCTAAACCCTAAACCCTAAACCGTAAACCGACTGTATGCAAGGCGCGGCTCCAAAACGAGCGTTCCCGTGAGAGCAAGTTCGGCTTAGACCTCAAGACCCGGGTTTAGGGTTTAGGGTTTAGGGTTTAGGGTTTAGGGTTTAGGGTTTAGGGCTATGGTGCGGAAAAAAGCACCCGCAACAAAAAAAAAAACACTCTTACCGCTAGCACCCGGAACCCGTGTTTTTTTTTTTGTTGTGGGTGCTTTTTTGCTGTGGGTGCTTTTTTCGGGGGCCGCCCCGGTGAGTGAGTGACCTGGCGCGTGTCGCCCCCGCACCCGCAGCAAAAAAAAAAGGGGCCCCCGCACCCGCAGCAAAAAAAAACCGCGCCCCCGCACCCGCAGCAAAAAAAAAAAACGCAACCCCCCCTCCCCCCCGCTTCCTCCCCACCCCCCAGGTGAGTAAGTGACCTGGCGCGTGTCGCCCCCGCGCCCGCAGCAAAAAAAAAAAACGCGCCCCCGCACCCGCAGCAAAAAAAAAAACGCGCCGCCCCCCCCTCCCCCCCCCCTCCTCCCCCCCCCCAGGTGAGTGAGTGACCTCGCGCGTGTCGCCCCCGCAGTGCCCCCGCACCCGCAGCAAAAAAAAAAACGCGCCCCCGCACCCGCATCAAAATAAAAAACGCGCCCCCCCGCACCCGCAGCAAAAAAAAAAAAAGGCGCCCCCCCCCCCCTTCCCCCAGGTCATTTGTTTTTGCAATTTCCTCCCCAACCCCGTCCCCAACGCCCCCCCCCTCCTTTAAACTGTGCAAGCGTTTTCAAAGCACTGAATCCTTCCCAAGGCCATCATGCGAGCATTGTGTTTGCTAACGGTGGAGGGAGGGCTGCACCCCGCCCGACCCCCCCCCTCTTTAAAACCGTGCCAGCTAGCTTCTCAGCATATGAATCCTGTCCAAGCCTATCATGCCAGCATTGGGTTTGCAAATTGGGGGGGGCTGCGCCCCCCCCCAACCCCCCCGCTTCTTAAAGCCATGCCAGCTTGCTTCAAAGCAAATGAATCCTTTCCGAAACCATCATGAGAGCATTCCCCTCCGCTTGAAAGGGGCGGGGGGGGGGGGCTGCGCTTTTTAGCCGGGCAAGCTTGCTTCAATCATACGAATCCCTTCCAAACCCATGATGATGCGAGCATTGTGTTGCAAATGGGGGGTGGGGGGGGGCTGCGCTTTTTAGCCGGGCAAGCTTGCTTCAATCATACGAATCCCTTCCAAACCCATGATGATGCGAGCATTGTGTTGCAAATGGGGGGGGGCTGCGCCCCCCCCCAACCCCCCCGCTTTTTTTAGCCGGCAAGCCTGCTTCAAAGCTTACGAATCCCTTCCAAACCCATGATGCGCGCATTGTGTTTTCAAATGCGGCGGTCTGCGCAGCCCCCAACCCCCTGAAAAAAGAGGAATATATGCCTGCTTTCCTACGAAAATTCAGACCTTATAGTGGAAGTTGAATTTTCCGTTTAAAAATAGAGATATAAACGTCTTCTTAGTAAAGAATCGAGAAAATAGAGCTTGTGTTATGAGACATGAACAAAAACACTTGTTGTCTACGAGTCACAGATAGAGATAATGCATGTACTCTTATGACAATATAGAGAATTAGCTTTTCATGTATTCCTCTCATGTCTTCCTCGTGAAACAAAGAGAAGATGTCTGAAAATACTGACAAAATAAAAAAAAACTATAGAACAATAGAGGTTTTCGCTATACAATATAGAGAAATTAGATGTTTCCTATGACAACATAGAGGAAATAGAGGCTTTCATACGAAAATATAGCGAACATACAAAGTGTTTTCATATCAAAATGTAGAGGTCTTGATATTCAAATATAGAGAATAGAGGTCTTCATGTTCAAATGTTATGACAATGGAGGTTTGCCTATTCAGAGACAGAGAAAATAACGGGCTTCCTATTAAAATAGGACACGAGGAACAAAACACTTTTAATTGCAAGTCACACATTGAGATAACACAGACAATAAGTTTCTCATGTATTCCTCTCTCATGTCTTCCTCATGAAATATAGAGGAAAACTATGACGATATAGACAAAAATAGAGAGAAATAGAGGTTTTCGTTATAAAATATAGAGAAATAGAGGTTTTCGAATTAAAGTAGAGGTTTTCATACTAAATGTAGAGAAAACAGAGGTTTTCATATTCAAATATAGAGAAGAAAGAGGTTTTCCTATTCAAATATAGAGAAGAAAGAGGTTTTCCTATTGAAAATTAGAGAAAATAGAGGTTTTCATAGTAAAATATAGAGAAAACAGCAAAAACGCTCCGCACCCGCAGCAAAAAAAAAACGCGACCCCACGGCACCCGCAACAAAAAAAAAAACGCGCCCCCGCACCCGCAGCAAAAAAAAAAACGCGCCCCCCGCACCCGCAGCAAAAAAAAAAACGCGCCCCCGCACCCGCAGCAAAAAAAAAACGCGCCCCCGCACCCACAGCAAAAAAGCACCTGCAACAAAAAAAAAAACACTCTTACCGCTATGGTGCAATCCAAGGTCATGCACAAGACCAGGAATCCCAGCATCACTGTCGGTGGCTCTGCTCAACTATTCAAGGGATGAAGACTCGGACCCCTAGGGTTGTGCCCCTAAAGGTTCCCCTTAATCTACTCCGAATATGGCCCTTAAATCGGGGCCCCAAAACCTAATGGTACAACCTTAAGGGTCCGAGGTAGAACCCTTAGAACTATCATCTTCTTTAGGCTTTTCGTCGCGCACCACGTAGAGTTTAGGGACACCGGCCTCCGAATGGTGACAGCTGGAAGGATGCATGATGAGGGTTTAGGGTTTAGGGTTTGGGGTTTTGGGATTTAGGGTTTACGGTTTTGGGTTTTGGGTTTTGGGATTAGGAATGTGAGGGACGCCTTGGTTTGTTGAAAGTCCTTTCTGCCATATACAGCGCAACATCCACGCTGCGTGTGCAAACGTAGAGAATGGCAGGCAGTTAATGGATAAAAACACGTCACCTGCAGGATGTTCTTTGCCTCAGAGCACAGTCATGGTGTGCGTGAGCATGTTGCACTGCACATCACATACACACAGCATACACCGCATTTCCTCGCATTCGAAGTCCCATTCATGCGTAGCTGTTGTAAGTTCACCCCTCCGCGAACGCAACATCTACATCTGCAAGTTCGCAGGCCTATGAATTGTGCACTATCCACCGAACGCATCAAGCGTGGTTCTGTTTGGTTGTGCGGTTGCGCGGTACTGCGCTGTGATGCGCGGTGCATATGTGTGTGTATGTGTGCACGTGTGCTGGCATGTGCGGTGCCCGTAGTTACGTGCTCGTGTGCTGGTATGTTCCTCTCATGCACTAGTTATTATCGTATTATATGAAATTTCTTGGTATGTTATAGTTATTGCATTATTATCTACATGAATATTTGGTAGTTATATTTTTCATTGCTAGCTTATCATTGTATTGTTAGATTATTGTTACATCAGGGTAGAGGCGCCTTTGATACTTTCGCCCAGGTCCCGCAGAATGCTTCTGAGAGCGGTTGCGTCGGATCGCAATTGTGCAAATCGTCTGTCTGAGAGAGTCCATCTCCAGGAATTGCCGAATGTGTCGCGGGTCCCTTGCTTTAGGGTTTCAAGGGTTTAGGGTTTCGGCGTTGATACAAGTGGGCCATCACATGCCATCGTGACTGTCTACGCGCCATGTAGGAAGCATGACCCGTGACCCACTTGTGTGTTCCTCCTGGCTGATGGCGCATGACCTAAATTGGCGGAAGAAAGTGCCATGGAAAAAAACGAGTTGCTTGCACATGTGACAGTGTTTCGGAATCCAACATGATAGTCAGAAATAATCTCATTGTCGTTGCTGGCTTCTGAATGCTGCATCGGAGACCTAGCGCGAAGGAAAGCGTCACAGTCGTTGATGGAGGAAGTCGTCTGTGCCTTCTGTACCTGGTGTAGCAACAGTGAACACCCACAGCATTGACAGCAGCGCAGGAGCCCCCCGGTCGTATCCATGTCATGCCCTTGTCTGCCCCGCCAAGGGCCTTCCTGCTGTCCTCGCTGATCATTACCACGTTTGGCTTTCTTACAGCTGCGTGTGAGGTGCTCAGTCCGTGAAATAAACTTGGCAAACTCAAGCAACGACCCATGTTGTGCGATTGCGAATGAGGTAGGTGCAGTGTGGCGGTCTCGCTGAACTTACCTGATTTTTGTACAAGCACAAGCAAGTCCGCCAAAGCAAGAAGAGCCTACGTCCCAAACAACCTGCAAAACTGGGATTTCAACACACGACTTGTAGATTGTAGACTCCTCAAGGGCCCAACCTCTCTGGGACCTATGACACGCGAACACGCGAACTCCCTGGAAGGTTCGATTCGTTCGTTTAGGGTTTAGGGTTTAGGGTTTAGGGTTTAGGGTTTAGGGTTTAGGGTTTAGGGTTTAGGGTTTAGGGTGCCTGCCGTGAGTCCTGTCCGCCCTCGGTCGTAGGAGTTGGCTTTGTTTGCCTTGCGCCGCGCCTTCAGGCGTAGAAACAGGCTGCAGGAATCCAGAATGGCTTCCTTCACGGCCTTCACAGCTCCGAAGCAAACGCTGAGCAAACCTCCTGCCCTAAACCCTAAACCCCAAACCCCAAACCCCAAACCCCAAACCCTAAACCCAAAACCCTAAAACCCCAAACCCCAAACCCGCCACATGCTGCTCCGTTTTCCAGGCCAGGGCTTCTACAGCCTCCTCATCATGCGGGCCTTGGTCGGGGTGGGCGTGGCAGGCTCGGGGTCCTGGAGCACTTGGGGGTCTCCGAAGTTAGGGGTCCTTATTCTAAGGGAATCCTATAATAGTTTAGGGTTTAGGGTTTAGGGTTTAGGGTTTAGGGTTTAGGGTTTAGGGTTTAGGGTTTAGGGTACCATATGGGATCTATATTGGGGGTCCCCTCTTTTCTTAAACCCGCACTTGGTTCCACAGAACCTATACCATAGGGCCCGCCTTGTTAAACCCGTCCGTTAAGTCGACAAACACATGTGTCATGATGTCCAAGTCTCTTTCAGGACAACGCTGCCGGACAGGTCCCTTCATCGCGGGCCTATGCGAACCTTCGAGCTTCGAAGGGATCTGCGAACCTTCCCAGGCCTTCCCCAAACAGGTCCAAACACCGTCGAGGAGACTCTATTCCAGTCAGTCCTCCCTAGACCCAAAACCCTAAACCCTAAACCCTAAACCCTAAACCCTAAACCCTAAACCCCAAACTCACTCATCCCTGACAGAGGCCTGCCAGTGGGCTTCGACATCCTGGCTGAAGCGATGCCCAGCTCAGGCCGCAGCGCGAACCCCGCCCGACTTAGGGTTTAGGGGGTTTAGGGTTTATAGGGTTTAGGGTTTAGGGTTAGGGTTTAGGGTTTAGGGTTTAGGGTTTAGGGTTTAGGGTTTAGGGTTTAGGGTTTAGGGTTTAGGGTTTAGGGTTTAGGGTTTAGGGTTTAGGGCTAGGGTTTAGGGTTCACCCTGCCCGAACCCCATTCATTCCAAGGTGCCACGATACATGGGGTTTTCCTTAAGGGGACTCTACTCTATTTGGGGCATAAAAGGGGTGCCTCTATTTTGGGAAATGCCCACATTTTCGGTTCTGCGCGGCCCTCAGCTGTAGGGAACTGCATAGCCTTAATGGCGTTCGGGTTGTCCCATCCGGCATCCTACTACTTTGGTTCGGGGGAGGCTATTGTTTCAGGTCGGGTTACATGAGGAGGTACTGGCCGAGCTTGGAGTCTGGTGTCATTCCAACATTCTATACATACATACATACATACATACATACATACAAACAACATTCTGCTATTGAAACCTGCCACTGATTCTCAGGATTGGAGAACTTTGGAGAACCGTTGGTAATACAGGTTGGCGTACGGGTCAGAGTCGTCTCTGCGCTTCGGATGGGCAGGCCGCGGCAAGTTTGGCCTCTACATGGAGCCCGGTCCCTGGCACGTTCAGGGAAAGGCTAGAATTGGGGGACTGAGACAAGGGATAGGCTCAAGATGCAAGATTGTTCCTGTCTCTTCTGGGTTTTAAGCAGAAAGGGGGTATATACCAGGCACACTCCAAACCCGACGCTGGAGGCTCGATAAGTCTCCGCGGCATTGGGGCACTACATGGCACATTTGAGCAATGTGGCTCTACGCACATTCGTACATACTCGGGCCTCGTGTTGCTGAAGTTGCTGACGCTTGCCAACCAGAACTGATTTGCGATTTGTTTTGCTGCTTGAAGAAATCTGAATAACCTCTCAGGTTTTTCTGGACAGCAGGAAGTCTTTACGTGCCGCTCGGCTGCCAAAGGGGAAAGGTTATTGGGTCCAACTTTGAGGCTTTCAGTTCTCCTTCAAAACCCTAAACCCTAAACCCTGGTGGAAGGTGTTTGCCTGGGGCTGCGTTCCTGCAATCTCTCCCCTCTCTGATTGGGTCAGATAGAGAAATTCTGCGAAACCGCTGAGGGTTGGGCGATCTGGGCTTCCTTCGACTTGTAGGTCTAGGGTTTAGGGTTTATAGGGTTTAGGGTTTAGGGTTTAGGGTAACCTAGGAATCGGCTTTGAGAGCTCCGAATGCCTAGCAAACCCTGGAAAGGACGGCGATCGCATGGCTGCTGCTGGAGCAGGTCGGCTGGCAGGCCGCGCTGTGTGAGTAGGAGGGACATCGGCCTGCGCAGAGCATCAATTCTTGGGGTGTAATTTTGGTTTCGGGTTTAGGGTCTAGGCTTTTGGGGTTTGGGGTTTGGGGTTTAGGGTTTAGGAGAATAAGAGTTGAAAAGGAAGGTTTATGAGCACTGGAGTTGCACAGAGTTTTTTTAAAATTCATCCTGCTGTCGCAGCTTCGTGAGGGGATGTGTGGATGCCTTTCAGGGCCTTGTGGGAAGAGTGCCGTGCATAACAGTATGACCTTAGTTGCATGCGTCATCGTGCCCTTCAGCGACTTTCAGCTGGCAAAAAAGTCCTCATTGCCTGAACCTGCCAGAGATCTCTACCCCTTTAGTGAAGCCCGTTAAAGCGTAAGACTATCTATCTATCTATCTATCTATCTATCTGTATATATATATATATATATATGCAAATATCTATATACAAATTATAAATAAATAAATAAATAAATAAATAAATAAATAAATAAATAAATATAAACACAAGTATATATATATATATATATACATACATACGTACATATATATATAGAGTTTATTATTTATCTATTTTTTTATTTGTTTATTTATCTATACATGCCTTCCTTGCTGTCCCCTCCCTATGAAGCCCCAGTTTCTCTGAGGTCTTCACAGGGGCGGCAGCCATTCCGACTCTTGTGGCCTCCCTGGCCGGGTGCGCAGCAGGGCGTGGCTTAGGAGTCTCGCAGAAGTCCCCCCGCCAACCCTAAACCCTAAACCCTAAACCTTAAACCCTGAACCCTAAACCCTAAACCCTAAACCCTAAACCCTAAAGTCCTGCTGAGGGCTCGCTACCACCACGTGAGAGCCCGAAGCCGTCCGAGCGCTCAGCGAGCGACTTGACAACACGCCACGTGCAGCCCAGGTAAAGCTGGGGCTGCTGAACGCCCTACAAAGATGAGCACACAGCCGTGCGCACCAGGCGGTCGAGCCTTTGAGTGTCAAAGGTTCAAACCCTAAACCCAAGCACCCTGTGGTGGCGTTATTGGCCCCCCCCCCCCCCTCCCAGGGCACCCTCCAAGCCCCAGCCTCCCGCCCCCACCCTGCCCACTGCTGCCGACCCTCTCCAGGCCCCAGCCTCCCTTTCCCCGCGAGTGCAACCTTCAATTGCAGCTGAGGGCTCGCTACCACCACGTGACAGCATGAAGCCATCCGATCAAGCGACCTCACCACACCACGTCGAGCCTTTGAGTGTCTCCAACCTGCACTTGCACTACGCCCGCCCGCTGAAGCCGGGCTCGGGCAGGTGAGGCCACTGAGCCCGGAGTTTGCTGGGGCAGCTCAGCCGCTGAGCCCGCTGAGGCTGCTGAGCGCTGCCGCTCCGGCCGGTCAGGTCACTGAGCTGCTCACCGCTCCAGCCCGCTGAAACCGCCCTCTGCCGCCAGCTTGCTGAGCCCACACATGCGCACAAACCGCCCTGAAGCCGCTGAGTCCGCGGAGTGCTGTGCGGACTTGTTGGCTTGCTGTGCCATAACACCTATTGCCTCTGGAGCTTTTCGGTTGTTCTTCGGCAGCTCATAGAGCACGGTGCCACAATCCTGGCATGTCATGCGGGACACGGTTTTCGTGGCTCCTCTCCGATCAAAATGAGGGTCTCGGGGTTGGCTGGTCTTGGCCGGTCACCTTGCAAAGAGGCGCTCCACTGGGTTTTTGGGGCTTTCTGCCGCCCTGTCGCAAAAGGGTTGTCAGCCGGGTCCACCGAGATGAACTTGAGGACTTGGCCACGCCCCTGCACCCGTCCCGGAAAACCAATTTAACTCCCGGAGGTGAAGCTAGCTATAGGGAGGGCTTGCGCCAGGTTTGGCAGCCCTTTTTTTCCCTCAGGTCGGCTCTCAGCCGGCCGAAACCGAGCTGAGGGTCAAGCCCGAACTGAACGAGGGACGCTTCAAGACAGCCGCATGGCTACACTGGAACAGGCCCACTGCGGAGCACCAACCAGACTCTGGGGCCGAAACCCGAAAATACAATACGCCGGGTGGTTTGGGGTCACGCGACGCGCACGTGGGAGTGGGCTCGTGACACCCATTCTAGAGGGCCCGCGACGCGCGCTAAGAACGTTGCCACACCCTAAGCCCTAAACCCTAAACCCCCCCCTCCCCCCCGGCTTCCTCCACATTCGGGGAGAGAGGTACTTCAGCCTCCCGGAGTCCCCACGCTGGCTGGTGGACATGGACCGTGGAGAGGAGGCACGAAGCAGCAGGAGAAGCGCGTTGGAACCACACTTCGTAGTAGAAGATATCATGTAGGAAGGTCGCATTTTGGCTTCAAAGGACAGGCAGGCATTCCATCGCAGCTTAAGACTTAAGGCTGGTCGGCTCCGGTGGCACGGTGTAGCAAGTTCTGCTGCTACAGGGCTCTCTGACCACATTTCGGACATCTGGATTTGGTCTGGGGTCTTTGAGAGTCAGCTGACGTTTCGGCGATGGCTGGTGCCGGCGTCGGCAATCGTTGAGGTGCAAATTGGCAAGCATGGCCACATGCTGCAAAGAGAAGTACCAGATGCAGGTTTCAGCTAGAGCAGGAGGAGCTTGCCTGGCTGTCAGGCACTGGAAATCGTCAAGAAGTGGGCCAAGAGAAATGGTAACGACATGAGGCAGCTCAGTTTGCACTGGCATGAACAAATGTTCTAGCTCCGGTTTCAAAGGCTGTCCGTTTCCGGGTTTGTCCGATCTTGAGAAACATGAAGAGTCAGGGTGAGCAGCAGCGAGGAGGCTGGTTGAGGAAACACGATTTCTTTCTATAAAGAGTCTCGGAGTGCAGGGAAGGGCTTCCGCCTCGACCTACGACTAAAACCCCAAGCCCTAAACCAAGAACTCCAGGCCCTAAAGAACAGAGGTGCTTGGCAGCAACATCGTGCACAAAAAAAGCTCTTGCCTCCAGCAGCTGAAGAAAACAAACGGAAACCGCCACGCGAACCCTACATAGGCCCTACACCCTCCTGTAAATCTCCCATGGAGTTGCAAGCAAGTACCGTAAAGAACAGAACTCACGCCTGCCAGGCATGAGCAGCTGATCAAGTCTGCGCATCACACCGACAACGTTAGTGGCTCCACTGGAGCTATGAGACATGTCCGTTTTACCCTAAACCCTAAACCCTAAACCCTAAACCCTAAACCCTAAACCCTAAACCCTAAACCCTAAACCCCAATGGTGGATACCAAAAGTGGGTGCTGGGATTTTCCATCATGAGCCCTCCTGGCTCCCTTGAAGTGTCGAGCAGAGCTGGCGTGAGGGTCATGCGAGCTTGCAACCTGGGTTTAGGGTTTAGGGTTTAGGGTTTAGGGTTTAGGGTTTAGGGTTTAGGGTTTAGGGTTTAGGGTTCCTGCCTTTCATCCTGAAGCGCGGGATATGCGGACGGTCATGTGCTACATGCCTCTTGAAACCCTTTTGTCTTAAGGCTCTTTCGACCACGTAGCACCGAGCTTGATACAGTGGTTTGTTTTCTGAGCCCTTCAGGCGTAATGGACCTCTTCCGTCGCAGTGCCCTGCGGTGGAAGACCTTCGCCCATGGGGTGGTCTGGCAAGGACCCAAGACTGTCCCGAGATCCCACAAAGATGCCATGTTTCGGCAAGTTCTCACTACGGGGGTGCGTCACATCTTGTTTCCATGAGTGCCGCCTTGCATTGCCATGAAGGAGTTCTGGCAGTTTTGTGATTGGCGTCATTTCTTTGTTGGCTAGATGATTCGATCCTAGATTCTAGCTTCGATACATGAAGACATGCCATGCGCAGTCTAAGCTTTCATCAAGGCGTTTAGACATAGAACCATAAGGCCAGGTTGAACTGTGTGAAAGTCCGACGGAACCGTAAGACAGCAATAGTGAAACGGTGACCCACGGGCTTGGTCTCTCAGGTTTGCATTTGGGGTGTCCTACTACGGTGCCCCCGATTCCGCTCAGCATCCGTTACGACACCGAGATTCTCGGAGAGATTCTCAAGATTGGGATCGCATACCCTAGACTACCCCACAAGCCCTAATAAGGTACATTGACCACAGCACCTTTTAGGGTTCCTTCGGAGATTCCTGGAGAGATTCTGTGCAGCTGTCGTGCTTTTTTGTTAATTCACCCTCGGGCCGTCTCGAGCAAAGGGGGCCTTCAGGTGCTCGGTTCACTTCAAGGTTCGGTCACTTGCTGGCTTTGAAGTTTTGCGCAGCTGCTAAAAGTACATCATTACATCATTTCATCATTACATGATGGTATTACACTGTTGCAGCAAAATAGCCGACTGCGGCAAAGAACCTGCCGTTCTCAGATGCGCGTTGAGAGTTTTTTGGATGTGTATGAATGGCGACTTATATCACAGGCCTTTGTTTTGGCATCTCCCTCGATGGCGGCTGTGCTTGTCTCAGGTCCATAATTGTAGCGGTGTATAGGGGGTCCGCGCCGACATTGAGAAAAACGATACGCGGACATCGAAAGAAGCACCGTGACAAAAGACAACGTCGAAAAACCTCATGACATCGAAAGATCCGTCCATCCGCCTTCCGTCGTCCATCCCAACCCGTGTGTCGATGAAACAGCGTCTTTTTTCGATGTCCGACATCAACAGACATTCCACGTTTCGATGTCGTGGCGCCTTTTTCGATGTCTGTAGGGAATATTCCTGGACAGTGTGTATATATATATATATACAATGTATATGTATATATAGAGAGAGAGAGACAAAGTACCAACAGTATATGTTATACATATATATATATACAATGTATGCTACCCCCCCGCCCAACGGATCTACCCTTCTTAGTGTTGAAAGTACGATAAGCGCACCCCAAACCTCTCCAGGCCAGAAAACATAAACATAAAAAGCAAAGTATCTGAACACCGCATGCCAGATGAGCCGGGGGGGGGGGGGGGGGGGGGAACCAAACGAAACGTTTGTCGGACCCTGCTCCTAAACCTTATTATTTGATTAAGGTTTCGACCCAAGCCTTATACCCTACTCGCTGAACCTTGTGCCTGAACCTTCTCCATGTAATACTTAAGCCAAACCCTATTCCCGTCTCAGGTTTAGGACCAAAACCAATACGTTGAAGATTTAGTGACAGAAACTCAAGTTTAGGGAAAACAAGAGCGAGCCGTTTCCCTAGGCATTGCGTACAAAGTGTAGGGCGTGCCTCCTGCGGAAAAGCAAAGAACATGCAGAACAACTACCCCACATCGCGTATGTGTAATACAGGGTATGTATGCAAAGTAGAATTTCTGCTCACATCGTGTAGGTATATAGATTTATATGTACATAAAATAGAGAAACTGGCGCGGAAGGGCGGAAATCCTCAAACCTCAAGACTAGGAAGTATTTGAGGGCAGATGCGAGTAAATCTGTGATCTGTAGGGCCCGAGGAAGCGAGAATACTGTGAGCAAATATCCTTCACTCCCCACTCCCAAACCTTTTTCGTCCAAGATTTTGGGGCAAACCTTATTCGTTTAAGATTTAGTGAAGGTAAGGTTGAGGGGAAAACAGTGAGAGCCTTTCCCTATACCTATAGAGTGTAGGGCTTGCCTCCTTTGGGAATGCATTGAGCAAGCAGAACATACATCGTGTATGTATATAGGGTGTATGTCTTGCATGAAAAGCTAGAATTTCTACCCACATCGCGTAGGTATATAGGATGCATGTGTTGTATGCAAAGGTAGAATTCCTACCCACATCGAGTAGGTATAAAGGGTGTATGTACCAAATAGAGAAAATGGAGAGGAAAGGGCGGTAATCCTCAAGACTAGGAAGTAGTTGAGGGCGGGGCCTCGGCTCCCCCACTGCGGCATCTGTGCTCTGATGTGAACGCGGATTCTCCCTTGTGAAGAATCTTGGATTTGCCCGTAGGAAATGGACTTGTCAACCATGCTGACTTGAAAAAGAAACGTCTGGTTAACAAGACAATTTCTTTTGGAAGGTCCGAGGGGAGATGGGTTTGTGAACCATGTTTGGTTTGCTTATTGACTTGTGGATGTATCTGGGGTTTTTTCCATGATTGAAAGCCCTTATTGAAATGTTGGATTTCAATAAGGGGGGACCAAGAACCAGGAACCAAGAACAAGAGTCACTGGTAATCTTGGTTCTCGGTTCTTGGTTCCCCCCTTATTGAGAACCATTATTGAAACATTGAATTCAATAAGGGGTCCAAGAGCCCAGATAATCTTGATTCTTAGTTCTTGGTTCCACCCTTACTGAACTTCAATATTTCAAGTAAGGGGTTTTGATGAAAACACAAATATCCAAGCTTCCAGAAATGAAGTTTAAGATTTGTGACACAACAAGAAGTATGGCACAACCAGAAGACGAAAACCGTAGATCCATTGGGGGGGGTACCATATAATATATACGTATATATATATACATATATATATATAGATGTATGTATGCATAACCTTTCTCTGTAAAGCGGCGGTGCACTTGTCCAGTAGCAGTAACTTCTGCGGAGGTATTGTCATGCTGCTGCCGCGAATCTTCAAGAAAGGGGGCACCGAGCCGGATCCCTACAGTGACCTTTGGGATGGGTTTAGGGTTTAGGGTTTGGGGTTTAGGGTTTAGGGTTTAGGGGTTAGGAAATAAGGGACCCCGAATATACACCCCCAAATAACAGGATTCCCATATAATAAGGACCCCAAGAAGGTACCCCTAATCTCGGAAGCACCCATATGGGAGATTGGAAGAGTTGAATTCCGAACCCACCACTATCCGGCTAGTCTTGGGGGGGGCGGGTGTGACTTCAATTCTAAAGAGGGCATGTTCTTCGGAAAGTGATTTCAGGTCTGTGAAATGTGCGAATCCAACCCGGCTCGGCTCACTGGGATTCGACTCACGCGATCGGGTTCGCCCGGTTTTTGCAAGCTGCGCAGGCGCGAAGACTCACCGGACCTCATGTGACCCCGGCTCTGGTTTCGTTCTTGCTGTGAAGCCATGCAAGATGACCCATCATGTGATGCTGGGCTACGGGGTCTTTGGCCTTGGCTTGCCGGCTTCTGCATGGAGCCCATGGATGCCGAGAGAAAGGAGCCCCTAGCCCCCGGGGAGGTTGGTAGCATGGCCATGGTGGCAAAAAATGCTGGAAATGCAAGTTCTGAGCTCCCTTGCGCACGGCTTCAGTCACCTGTACGATGTGAAAAACCGCGAAACTCGGACGGAAAGCTGTGTAGACATGTCCTGGCATCCTCATCCTGCTGCAGCCCCGAATGCTTGCAAGATACCGTTCGTTCCACGGCCGGACGTGCGCACATGCAAGAAATGTAATCTCACCACCAGATTCAGCCGACTGTGAACCACATGCTGTTCGGAAAGGTCGCCTGAAGAGAACGGCTGCAAGATGGAGTTTGACAACAAGGCGTGTCGGTGCCCTCTTGCATAGGTAAGCTTCCAAGGAGTTTTGCAAGAGAAGCCTGGTTTCGCGTGGGTTTTGTGGCCCGCAGCAGGTTTCTAGAGGGTGTCCAGGAGGCCCTGATGACGGAATGTTCGCAGAACCTCTGGGGGGTTTGTCTGAGATGGCCAAAGTGAACTGCTCCCAGGGCCTTGACGCTGAGCAGCGACACGGTTTTCCCATGAAGCCTGGAACAGGACCTGCTCATTGCGGCGGCGTCCGAGATTATTGGCGTGCTGCTCGGAATCTGCATGACCGGCGCTGAGCCTTGAGAGGTTTGCGTTGCAATTGAGAATATCAGGATAGCGATTCCCAGCAGACACCAGAGAATTCTATCGATGCTTCGAAGCAAGGATGTGCCACGTTCCAGGTTATTTGTTGTCTGAGGCAGCTGGTCATGTATTCTAGGTCCTAGACACAGCTCCCGGCGATCAGTTTTGCCGATCCGACCCACCCCACCCTCACGCGCAGGATTGATGAGCCCGGCCGTGTGTTCTCCCAAGGCCCAGCTGAAATCCTGTGTTGTTGACCGCGACAATACGACCTCTCTGTGACTATCAGTGCTTGGAGCCCTCAAGTCATGTGATCAGGCCTTCTGATGGAAGCCCTCATAGGGGTGCGGCATTTTTGGAGAATTAAATTTGCTTGAAGAGATCGAGGTTTCTGCTGTTGTCATTGGTACAGTTGCTGGAGTTGCTCCATGTCGCTCCTGCCTGTGACGATGCTTTTGTGTACTGAGTGGACGTGTATGACATGACTTGTCTCGTCATCTTCGTCGTAACGGCAGCAGCAAGAGTAACACCATCAGCATGGCTGTAGTGGCGTAACAAAACGTAGTAGTCAGTCGTCATCGTGTAGCAAGAAGTTGCAGCAGTCCTTGTTCTTCTTCTTTTCGTGGCTGCTTTCATTGCAGGAACATGGCTAAGCAAAAGCAGTGGCAGCGGTGGTGATGCTGCATGTTGTCGATGCTGTCGCGTGGAACTCGTTCTTGCTAATCATTGTTCCTCCTCTTGCTGCTGCTGTTGTGTTTCGTGTTCTTGTTGCTATTCCTCCTGCCACTCTTTTTGTGGTTCTTGCCATTGTTATTGTTCCTCCTCCGGCTGTTGCCGTTGCCGTTGCCGTTGCGGTTGCTCTTGTTCTTCTTGTTATTGTTGTGCTTCTTCTTCTTCTTGTTCTCGTTCCCGCTGTTATTCGTGTTCCTGTTGTTGTTTGTGTTCCTGCTGTTGTTCTTGTTATTCTTCTTGTTCTTGTTGTTG